AAAAAAAAAAAAAAAAAAGAAGAAGAAGAAGAATTCCACGCGTTCTGTAAATCAGCCTAAAGTATTTTAAAGTATTTAAACTTAAATAATCATCCACAGTCAGAATAATTTACATACACATTAAAAAGCGGTTTAAATTATACCTTTGAAAAACACAGCGCCTGGGAAAACATTGGCTTGGCAAGTGTTCTTGTAGCAGCTATTGCTCTGATGCCTCGTAAAAGTAAATAGCTATTACCTGTCATAATGCAAGGAATACCCTTTCAAAAATCAGTTGGTTGAGCAATTAAGAATACACCTTTCCTGTAATTTTTGGACTGAAGCAATTTATTAAAGCTCAATTTAAATACAGGGACGATGCAACTTAAAATCCAGATGACCTTTCAGAAACCTAAGCAGCTCGGATACATCAACATTTCTGGTTATTACGTTGTTGGCAAATAAACGTTGGAAACACTTGGCACACAGTTTAAGTTAATCCATAAACAGAATTTTAGAAGCATTTAAAAGTAACTGCACATCAGACCCGTGACCTTAACACATGATAAATATTGTTGGCGTGGAAGGGTCATTTAAAGAATAACAAATAAATAGCATGTCTCGTTTATACATCATTGCAAAGTGGAAAGAAACAAGGTGCACATAAATATTTCTTTTAAAAATGCGATACTTTCAGCCACGCGGAATAGGGGGGGGGGGGGGATAATATCGCTTCGCATAAATGTCATTCACTCTGCTGTGCTGCCTAAATTCAGTATCTAAATAAGAAAGAGAAATTTGAGGAGTAAAAAAAAAAAAAAAAAAAAAATCCAAAGTTCTTCCCTAGCAACGGTCCATCCGGTCTCTTTGTTTCTGCGAGTCGCTTATAAGAAGAAGTTGACATTTCAAGTTTGTTCGTTTCCTGGCTCAGAATCATCATCATCATCATCATCATAATACTAGTAATAATTAAAAAAAAAAAAATCAAATCTCTATATTCAAGTGCCCTCTCTGATTTGTCCCGTTCACCTCCTCGCCTTGGGGCGCTGCGGCCCCTTCCCCTCGCCGGGACCGGGGACCGGGTGGGGGTCTCTCTCCGTTCCCCTTTCTCCCCTCCTGCTATTTCTCGCCCTCTCCTTTGTCCGGTTGCCCGGGGAGAGTGACACCCCCACACACACCCCCCGTTCCCCCCCTTTTCCTCCCCAAGCACCGGGGGGGGTTTCCTCCCCGCGGCACCCACGGCCCCGCCGCCGTCCCGTCCCGGCAAAACCCGAGGAGAAGAAGGAGGATGAGGAGGAGGAGGTGAGGAAAACCCGGGAGGAGGGAAGCGGGGACCGGGCAGCGCTCAGTCCCTCCGTCCCCCCCGCCATCCCCGCTCGGGACCACCGGCCGTCGCCTCTCCCCGGGACCGCGGCGGCGGCGGAGGATGAGGAGGAGGAGGAAGAGGCGGGAAGGGGGGCTTAAGGCTTCTCCGTGCACTGTTTGCAGAGGCTGGAGGAGACGCTGTTGAAAATGGCACATTTCTCCGGGCAGGAGGTGGCGGGGGGGAGGCCGGCGCTGAAGGGGTAACCGGCCGCTTGCTCGTAGGCGCCGAGGGCGGGATGAAGGGCGGCCGCCGCCGCCGCCGCCGCCGCGGCGGAGCTGGGTAAAGAAGCGGCGGAGATGGCTTGGCCTTGGTTGAGATAAGCCACCAAGCGCCTCATCTCCTCCAGGGCCTGCGCCTGCATCAGGATGTAGTTCTTGGCCAGGAGGAGCGTGGCGATCTTGGAGAGCTTCCTCACGGAAGGGCTGTGCGCGTAAGGGATGACCGCCCGCAGCTCGTCCAGCGCGTCGTTCAGGTCGTGCATCCTCCGCCGCTCCCGGGCGTTGATGTTGAGGCGCAGAGCCTTCTGCTCCTTCGACTTCTTGCTCCCGCCGTGCCCGTGGCTGTTGGAGCAGCCGCCTTCGGTCGCCTTCAACCCCCCGCCGCCGCCTCCGCCTCCCCCCCC